CAAAAAAATGTTGTTTAAGTTCTCAAATCTTAGAAAAATGGCTGAGTTTGCAAATCAGTATTAAAACCCTGGACCGATATCAAATAGTATGCAAAAATGATGCGAAAACAGTGATATCAATCCCTGAAGGATTCACATAGTTGGCACGAAGCACAAACATGGCAATCAGCCCAAACATGGCAATCAGCCCAAATAACAGTGATAACAAATAATTTCCAGTCAAATACGCAGTAATTAACCAATCGGGACGGACCAAGTCACAATCCCCAACGGTGCTCTACCCCACGCTCATATCCGGCGTACAAGTCACCTCAATACAGCACTATGATGTGCAAATCCGGGGTTTCAAACCCTCAGGATATCATTTACAAGTATTACTCACCTCGAACCGGTGAAATCTCTAGCTCACGACGCCTTTGCCCCTCAAACCGGCCTCCACGCGCGTCGAATCTATCCAAAATCAGAGCGAATACATCACAATATGCTAAGGGAACAATACCCAATCGAAAACAATCGAAAAAATAGCAAAATCTCGAAACTAGCAAAAACCCGAGCCCCGGGCCCACTTCTCGAAAAATTACAAAACTCACATTACCGGATTCGTCGTCTCGCCACGAGTCCATACATACCAAGAACTCCCAAATCCGAGCTCACCTATAAAATCCCAATTTGAAATATCAAAAACTCAAGCCCTAGCTTTACCCCTTTTTGATGAATTTTAACCAATTTCCATGTTAAATCTATCATAATCTAGTGTATTTAGGCCAAGAAACTTACCTCCGATCAATCCTCCTTGAATCCCTCTTCAATTTGTCCCAAAGAGCTCTCAAAATACTCAACAATGGTGGAAAAAAATGACTACAACTCGCGGATGAAATGTTTATAAACTCACTGCTCAGCACTGGAATTCCTTCTTCGCGAACGCGGTCAAACATCCACGAACGCGTAGCATAAAAAATGCGTTGACCAATTTTTTACCTTACGCGAACGCGGCATCCCAGACGCGAACGCGAAGCCTATTCCGCTTGAACCTTCGCGAACGCGGTATCCTGCACGCGAACGCGTAGCTTCCACTTGCCATACCATCGCGAACGCGAAACCGTATCGCGAACGCGGAACACAAAAGACCTCACCCCTTTCGCGGACGCGGGACCAACATCGCGAACGTGAAGGCAAAATTCACAGCCTCCTCATGCATCCCTTCGCGAACGCGAAGGCCAAAAGTCTGCAACAGAAACTTCAGAAAATCTGCAACTTCAAAATACCAAAAATGGTCTGATTGACCCTCCGAAACTCATTCGAGGCCCCCGGGACCTCAACCAAAAGTGCCAACACATCCTAAAACCTCTTTCAAACTTGTTCCAATTATCAAAACACCTCACACAACACTAAAACCATTAAATCACATCGGATTCAAGCCTAAGTTTCTTAAAAACTTCCGAAATACGCATTCGATAAAAACCCCAACCAAACGGCGTCTGAATGCCCTGAAATTTTGCACACACATCACAAATCTCATATCGAAGCTACAGCAACTCTCGGAATTCCATTCCGACCATCGGATCAAAATCTCACCCATCAACCGGAATTCGCCAAAATACTAACTTCGCCAATTCAAGCCTAATTCTACACCGGACTTCCAAAATCAATTCCGATCACACTCCTAAGTCATAAATCATCCCCCGAAGCTAACCGAATCACCGGAAATCACATTCGAGTCCTCCAACTCAATAGTTAATATTCGGTTGACTTTTCCAACTGAAGCCTTCCTTAAAGAGACTAAGTGTCTCATTTCTTATTAGAACCAATCCAAATCAATTCTAACACACCACATACCGATAACGAAACATGAAGAAGCATAAAATGGGGAGAAACGGAGCGGTAATACATGAGACGACGGGTCGGATCGTCACATATAATAATTTAGTAGCGGAAATAGGCCAATGTGATAAAGGTTATATATATATATATATATATATTTTGTAATCTTTGTAAAATTCCATAAATGAAATACAATATCAAAGTATCAAGATACTGTAATACAACCCTTCTTGAATAATCAACACGTTAAAGCAACTTCCTAACGAAATTATACTTTTTCATTTGACATCACTACAGGTTTGTATGTACATGAATCTCAAACTAGCGAGCATTAAAGGAAAACTAGTCTTCTCCTTTGTACATATTTACAGACAAAGTGTAAATTTAGCATATTATAAGATCTGGGTTATTAACACACACCAAAACAATAAAACAAGTCACCAAATTTACATACATAAGCGTGACATATAGATCATGTACAAGTCCCAGAACTATACAAAACCTAGAAGCATATGCAAATGTGATCTCCATAAAAGCTCCCAAAAAGACTACTTCATATGGTCGTCTTCAAATCTCCTCCTGCACACTACCTACGACAGCAAACAACTAAGTATAAAGTTTAGTGGTGTATAAACTTTAGGCTTGGAACCATTAAATTCTTCAATTTCCCTTTTCAGTCATAGATAGCTCAAATGAAACATAAATTTAAGCAAGTAAACAAATATATCAAAAGCATCGAATATCAAACCTTGAAGTGTTTCCGAATATCAATAACAATATTCAAGATTGAAGTGTCAAGAAAGCCTATACTATCAATCCAAGAGAGCTTGTCAAATATTTATTTTTCGCCCAATATGTATGTCATGCCATCATAGGAAGCACAATCAGATATCAAGATGGATCGAAGCCCCAAATCGAGTAGGGTCGAAACCCATAGTCAAGGGAATCAAGAACCATATTAAAAGTGGCTTCTTAGTTGGTACCTAACACGGACAAGTTCCATAATTTAAGACGAACTAAAAATTCAAAGTCAAAATGGGAAAAGATCCGAATCAAGAGGTATGTCAATATAGGTGACGATGTCACTGCCACAAGAAGGAAAAATTCTCAACAAGGATGCAAAATGATCAAGCAATCCGTACAAGTGAGCGAGTTAGCGAATATCTTGCAATACTTGATATAACACGAATACAACGATATAAATTGAAGACAAAGGAAACGAAAGCTCAAGTTATTTCAATACATTCCAGCAAGTAAAAAGAGTACAACTTCAAGTTTATACACAAACCTTAGTATTTTACCACAAAATAGTTCAACCACAACTTGAGGACGTTCGAATCGTCTATGCTAGACCAACCAAATCCGTCCACTTTCTCAAACACTTCCCCTTAGAGTTTACAAGGGTATATATACCTTACATACATAATCAAATATCTATATAAGTTCAGTAATTTCAACATGTTGAACTAAATATGATATTGGTAAAAATCAACCTAAATGTTTGAAATAAAAATTCTGGACGGTGCCGATGTCTTGTGTTGTGACTCAGTTTTGAATATGTAAAAGGGTAGACTGTGTGGTCTTCATTAAAGTTGTAGATATATATATCTTAGGGTTTCATGAAACCTTAAATCACACCCATATCAATTTTGTACAATATGTTATGCTCAAAATACTAACGGTAGGACATGAGGGTTTGTAAAACTGAAAATTTGGGCAGCACCAGCCCTGTACTTCATCACCCTTTTTCTGGTAAATACAAGAAATACTAGGTTTTGGAGCCTGAACAAAAGTTATAGAGCTATGGAATAGCTTTCCAGAAAAATTTAGCTCACTTAAAAGGAGTTTTATGCAAAGAGATATGCTAAAACTACAAATAGTATTCCAGTTCAAAAACGGGTTTGGTAAACTTGAGTCCGGAACCAAAATGTGGTTCTTTTGGACAAGTAGCATCTCAATAGGTGTAAAAAAAAAAAAGATAACATTTTTATATATAGTGCCCAAATACTGGGCGCTATATATTAACGTTAACTGTGCCGTTAATGTATAGCGCCAAGTATTTGGGCACTATACATAAAAAGCTGACACGCCCAGGTATAGCGCCAAAATACCTGGCTCTATACCCCTTTTTAAAAATCGATCCGTCTTCTTGATCAAGACGATTCTGCTTCTTCTTCCTCAATATTTTACTCCTTCTTCTTGGTCCCCTACCCCCATACCCACTGCCCCACTATTTAAAAAAAAAAAAAATTTTGGGTCCCCCCGTCACATAAAAGGTGAAGAACGTAGGTCCCACATTCGAGTAGAGCTTCGTATTATTGTTGATTCACACTTTCGGAGTCAAAATTTCAATCTATTTGCTTTCCGAAAATTCTAAATCGAGGTATTTCGGTTTATTTTAAGTTGAATCTTTTATAATAATGCATATTATTTGATTTGTATGTGTTCTATTTCGGTTTGTGTTTTTTTTTTCTTTTCGAAACTAGTATGTTAAATTTATCTGGATTTAATATTAGTGTTTTATAAAAAAATATAAATTTGTCAAATAAATTTGTCTGTTAATATCCTGATTTATATATATGTGTTTTCATGCCGTTTTGTGTTTTATTTGAAATTAAATTTATTTGTCGTTTATGTTTAGTTTAGATTATTTTTTAGCGTAGTAAAATGTAGACCCTTTTAGCGTAGTAAAATTTAGAGCCTTGTAGCGTAGTAATGTGTAGTATTTTAGCTTAGAATTCCTTTTGTTTAAGTATCTTATACTAGTAGTTGAAAATGCAAACTTTGTACAATTAAGTTAATAATTTTATCAACACACATAATTANAATTATTAATGATAGTTTGGTGCTACTGGGCCTCAAATATCGAGCCTGGAACCCATAGGTATAATTTTTGTATAACGCTAAAAATTGTGTATCTCAAAAAATTAATATTTAATATACAGAATAAAATAGAATTAATGTTGTTTTAATTTACAGTTGACGACATGGACGCGACTATACATCCCGGCCCTCGGACGTTGGATCTATTAGCCCTATAGCCCCAGCATAGATCCGAGTATATATGGGACGGACAGTTGCTTACGCAGACTTACCGGGCCAGGAGAGTGGATCTATTGTGGGAGTTTTTGAGTCCTCCCCGCGTTGTACATCCCCGCGTGGTCCATTACCTGGAGGAGATGGGATTATATAGGATTATTAGGATTGGCCGGATACAGCTCGACCGGGCTTTGATCATGGCCTTGATTGAGCGGTGGCGACCGGAGACGCACACTTTCCATCTGCCCATCGGCGAGGCCACCATCACACTCCAGGATGCTGAGATTTTATATGGCCTCTCCGCTGATGGCTTGCCAGTTTTACTGCCTGCGACCATGAGATATTATAATCGGCAGTCTTATTGGGATATGTTGCACATGCTCACGGGTTTCAGGCCGGAGGACGAGGATGTAGCGTCTGGGTCCAGTCGTATGCAGTTGGTCCCCATTAGAGACCACCTGGTGCATATCCACCATACTATCACCGACGAGTCAGCGAAGGTGGATGTACATCGATATACGAGGCTGTTGTTGCTCCTTCTACTTAGAGGGGTCTTGTTCCCGAACACTTCGGGGAACCTAGTGAGCCTCCGTTTTCTGCATCATATTGCCCGGTTCTAGGATACAACCATCTACAGCTGGGGTGGTGCTGTCATCTCATATTTGTACAGGCAGATGTGCCGGGCTTACATAGGCACACAGAGAGACGTTGGTGGCTTTCTATCGTTTCTACAGGTGACAACATATTCAAATAATATGTCCATTAGTTACAATTCTACCTAGTTATATTGTTAATCTTATACTTTACATCAACTTTGTATCTTAGGTTTGGGTCTGGGAGCGATTTCTGCAGTTTCGGCCACCTCTACCACAGCTACCGGCTAATGTAGAAATTCCGCAACTCCCTCTAGCCTGCAGGTGGGTTATGCATCGTACTCTTGCACGAGAGTATGATGCCCATCATAATCTCCTCCTCTGCAGGGTGTGTTGGATCTGCTGGAGGACGCACAGGTGAATATCTAACTAAACTTACCTGTTATAGATTAACTTAGTGTTGCGCATACTAACGGTTTGTGTTCTTATTTGATAGTTCATCTGGACGTCTTATAGCGATGAGGTGATAGTTCGTCTAGGGGGGGTCTCTCTTCAAATCAAGTCCTTCCTCCTCATCCTGCGCATCACCATCCTCACGGGGAAATGGTGTCTCGTCTCCGGATTCATCGGCATTGTTATCGTAATCACTGTTCTGTTCCTCACTCAGTGCATCTGCCAGATCCCGATGTAATACGTCATTTTCGGGCAATTGAGTGAGTACGGGTGGTTCAACATGCTCATTTTCACTGCACAACCAACAAAAATATAAGATACTGAATTAATAAATGCTTTCCATATGGCTATATCACTTCACTTACAAGTCGTAATGTGATGAAATTCCATGATGGACGTTTTCAATTAGGTGATGACTGTCGAATGGGCCACTTGTAAAATTCATATCCGACCGGTACCCCCTATTAAATATATGAGCGTTAATACAAATTCAATACGCCAAAAATATACATAATTAACACAAATGAAAATTGAAGTTTACCACTCGTCTTGTGAATTATGGAAAGCAGGGTATAAATTATTTTCTCGCTGCTCATTCGCCGGCGGTGATAAGTTTAAATCAAGGAAAACTCTTTCATCCGGAACCTGTCCGGCAAAAACTGTTCCAGAATAACCATCCGATGACTGGGGATTATCTCTACTACGCACAACCTCATTTTTTGGAACGTCTTCGACCTTCTCGTACATCTCCAACATTGTGATTACAAGAAATTCCCGGCATTCGTCCGGAGTCCTCAGAAAATCACTCAAAGTTTCATCATCGTCGATGTTAAAATCCGAGTAAAAAGCAACCCCTTGCGGAGTGACGGAATGGATATCTTCCGGTTACTTTAAGTATCACTGAACGTTTCCTCACACTCATTTTTTTGCATAACAACGATATCAATTTATCGTACTCCATTGTAAGTGGCAATTTAACATGACACTTAGCAGGTAAACTGTAGCCCACGAAGTTATTCTCCATCACAACCTCACCCCCCTCCCCCCAATATAATGAAACTCTTATTCTACGCTCTTCAGACATAATGACAAAATGCTGGAGAATTTAACAACAATGAACGTTTCAACAAGAGTTAAAAAATTTTTTGAATGAATATCTATATAATCCTAACCTCTTTATATAGGAAATGGCTAGCCGGGAATTTTTTGTTTTATATATAGCGCCCAAAAAGTGGGCACTATACACTTTTGAATTATTGAAGTCAGGAATTACCGATAGGGCCAGGAAAAAGGAGTATAGAGCCCAAATACTGGACGCTATACCTGGGCGTGTCAGCTTTTTATATATAGCGCCAGGTATTTTGGCACTATACCTGAGCGTGTCAGCTTTTTATGTATAGTGCCCAAATACTGGGCGTTATACATTAACGGCACAGTTAACGTTAATATATAGCGCCCAGTATTTGGGCACTATACATAAAAATGTCATCTTTTTTTTTACACCTACTAAGGTGCTACTTGTCCAAAAGAACCACATTTTGGTTCCGACTTCCTGGTAACTTACCTCAAAGGTGAGAAGTAACTTGTGGCTCAACCAAGACAAGTCTAGTTGGTGACTTGATGGGAGAATTTTATTAGAGAAGAAGAGTTTTTGAGGTTTTCTTTTGATGGAGAAAACGAAATTGGAGGAGGCCCTTAAGGATATCTCACAAGGATGATAGTATATATCACCTTAGATAAGCGTTTAATATTGCTTCCAGCCAGTTTTGCTTGCTCCAGCACCCTCCATTGGATGATGTTTCCTGAGCTTCCTAGGTCAACAAAAACACGCTTAATTTTGAAATCTTAAACATTAAGAGAGATTACCAGAGCGTCGTTATATGGAAGAAGAAGTTCGTCAGCGTCTTCCTCCATAAAGGTGATATCATCTTCTACGACTTCTCCGAGTCTCTTGTTGTGAGTCACCGATATCTTTGTTTTCTTGGCCACCGAGAAAGTTACACCATTAATTTCATTCCCCCTGAAAATCATGTTGATAGTCAACTGAGAGGAGTCTTCTGCTACCTTCGAAGGTTCTGCATTGTCTGGGCTTCGGTCGTAGTTATTCCTCGCTCAGTCACTTAAGAATTCCCTAAGATGGCCATTTTTCAATAATATCACTACCTCTTCACATAGTTGCTGGTAGTCCTCAGTTCAATGACCGTGAGTCCCATGATATTCACACCACAAGTTGGGGTCCCTATGGCTGGGGTTGGATCTGATTGACTTGGGAATCGTGCTTCTTTGATATTCCGCATCGCCAATGCCAACTCTGAAATTGTAATCCGATAACCTGGGATATGTGGAGTCCCGAGCCCCTGGCACCTCTTTTTATTGTAATGACCTATTGTTTCAGCCACGGTCAGCTCTTCTATTGGGAGAGAACCTATCCGAGTACCGAAGCCCGTTACTGATGCGACCTTCGGTTCTTTCAAATAGTAGGAAACGACCTTTCGAAGACTGCCGATCCGCTTTGAAGTCGCTTTTAAGTTTTCCTAGTTTCTATCTCAGTCCTGTCCCTTGGTTGACGTCGGGAACTCGACCTGATTTTCTTCTATTCTTATTTTCAACTCGTAACGGTTATGGACATCCGTCCATGTGGTTTCTTGGAATTTGTGCAAGCTTTTCTTCAACATTCGAGAGGCGTCAGAGCTCATTGGATTCAAACCCTTCGTGAATGCCTCCACTGCCTACTCGTCTGGTATTGCCGATAGCAACATCCTCTCTTTTTGGAACAGGATCACGAATTCCCGCAGTAAGAACGATTTGGTCTCATGTTGAGCCAAATCGTTCCCTTTTACAGCTGTGGTGTAGGTTGTGAGATGCTCATGCGGATCCGAAGTCCCATCGTATTGTGGTATGTCCGGCATCTTGAACCTCTTCAGAATCAATTCTGGTGTTGCACTTGGTTTAAACGGTAATTGTGTGTATTTTTTCGAATCTGGGCTCTTTAGTACTGGTGGTGCACCCAGAATCTGATCCATTCGAGCGTGGAACTCCTTCGCATTTTGATCCATCCGTTTGTTCATTTCCCTCATAAATCTCATAAGCTCAATTTGAAGGGATCATTCCCGTTATCATTCCCATATCCGCTACCGGTCCCTCCAGCACCGTCAAAACCGATCTCATCCCTTGGGGTGTTATTGTCGACTCTTTGAGCCGTTTGTTTGCAGGAACACTAAGTGGAACCGGGCCCCTTCTGTTTGCATTATTGGAAGCACTTGACAACGCTTGTTTCAACTCCGTTATTACCCGGTCCTGCTTCGAGAGGTAACTCATGATTGCTTTCTATTGTTCCCTAAAGATGTTTACTGTTTCCACGACATGCTCCTCCTTCGCGTCATGGGGAGTTGGCTCCCGCACATGCCGGGGATACTGCCCTTCACGAACTGGGGTTGTTTCGTCCCCTTCGTTACGGATGTCGCTGATCGAATCTTCATGTTGAGGCAAATGTGCGTGTTCCTCAATGTTGTGTGTGCTGTTGACATCATTTGTTGCCATTTCTGATTTCTTGCTAAGGAAAAAATCAAACACATCAGTAACAGACATAAGGATCAAAGCAATTACGCAATTGTCTAATCCCCACCGTTGGCACCAAACTGTTACCCGTAAAACAGTACAATTAAATTTGTTACGTAGTTTATAGACAAGCGAACTGATTTGATCCAAAAATGATAAAGAAATAAGATTAAAAATAAGACTTAGCTATTGAAATTGAAGAAGATGACAATCATGGCTTCGAGCGCAATGTCTCTGAGGACAAAAATGAAAACAATGTAAAAGAGCAAATAAAGTTGTTTAATTGAAAGGGAAAGTGAAATATTGTATATGTTTTGCCAAGAATTTCCTGTCTTCCAATGACTGCTGAGCCTGCTATTTATAGTCATGCCTAGGGAAACAAGATCCTAGGATCAAACCCCACTTAAATAATAAGAAACGGGGCACCGATCAATATGTAACGGCAGGCCATGAAGGCAAATATTTCCTGCAACGGTCGCTCATTTAATATGAGAGAATATTACCTCATTGAATGCTATTCGAGGACTAATAATCGACATACTCCCGTTGACTATGCTTCATTCGAAATTTACCCGATATTAATCGCAGTTGCTGTTTTCCATACTGATCGTTACTTGACTTGTCTTTTGCTTGTCCTCGGTTCCACCTGTCGTGCCACCATTCGACCATTGGTTCTGAACCAATTTTACCCCATACATTGCTCTTGCTGAAACAATTGTTATTGTAGCTGGTAGGCGATATTTTTAATCTTAATTACAGGTTAGCCATCTGTGTACTTGCGGAAAACGGCATAGGATTGGATTGAATTGAATGACTAATTTCAAAATAATGTTGACTTCACTTTCTACACATTTTCCTGCCGACTGAAGTTGAAACATGGACGGCTGTGGCGGTGTGAGGGGGAAGATGACAAAGACAATTAGGCAGTGAAAATGACATTTGTAGGAGAATCTCTCGTTCTAATCACGATCAGGAGAACAGACATGTTAATTGACTGTGGTTTTATCATCATTTCAACGACCTTCCAGTACGATTTATGACAAGTGTTAGGACCAATTTAAGACAAACAGATACGGAAATTGACTTCTCGTTTATGTCTCATTATTTCAGATTGAAAACTATTTAACTCGTCATTCTCTTTGGAATGGTGGAAAATTCCTTTCTTTAATTTTAATTATTTAAGTTAAATATCACTCTCAAAAGTAGTTAAAATAATTATCATTAAAATAAACTGAAGACACTTAGTAGGCGTTTGGACATATATATTACTTATAAAGGTTTGTTTCATATTTTGTCAATATCTCACCATTAACTTAAACTAGAGAATTGAATTTACAAAACTGGTTTAAGAATTATCAAGTGAAATAATAAGTTTGATTAAAAAAATTATAATTTCTTTTCAAATTAAATATATAAACACAATTTTAACTTTTAAAATTCTGGAGTTGAGAGCCAACTCAGTTAGTGATACACCCTCCCTTCCACACTATAGGTGGAGAGATCAAATTCCATAAGGAGTTTTACATTCCTTACACTTTTTTCTCTCCTCTTGATGAAACATAATTTTTTTAATAAAATAAAATTTCCGAATACTTTTTATTAATTTTAACTTTAACTTCAAATTTTATGTTTTCGCCTTCAACCAAAAAATATTCAAAACGACCCTTAAAATAAAACAACAACAACAACAACTACCCAGTAAAGTCTCACATAGTGGGGTCTCCCTTCCACAATTGGGGCCAAATGACATGTAGGCGCATTTTTCGCTGACAATTATTTGGTACAGCAACAACAAAAATAATAAAAAATTTAATAAAATCCCACAAATTAAATGTTATTTGGGAAATGTAATGTGTATGTAGTCTTACCTTTATCTAATAAAATAAAGATGTAAAAAGGGAGGCAATACGAGAACTTTTCAAGAGTCACCCGTCCAGACATTAGTACGACGATATTAAATGAGTAAGTGACTGAAACACATGATAGCATCCCTAATAGTCACATCAAGGGACTAAAACAAGAAAAATAAGATAATTTATCCATTCTTTTCAATCACTACAAAAGGTAAACTCACCAATCATGCATTTCTACCTCTAACCAAACAAACTCACCGGTGACCATAGATGTTGTTGCTAGTACAATTTCGGACTACTTATAAAATTATTTGGATTATGCCGCAATAATTATAAGATAGAAATTATTATTATTATTCACTTGTCTCAAAAGATTGATGGTCGAAAGACTCGAAATACAAGAGTCTAAATATTTACATTTTTATGTGTTACATTGTTCACGTCATTAGACAAAATTGTTTGTTGTTTTATTATACAAGTCTTGAAAAATTCTCACTTCATGATTTAACTTCTAAAATTAATTACATTTATAGTGTAATTTCTTTATATGGTACTCCATCTGTATAAAAAAAGATTAGCACTATTTCATTATTAGTCTATTTAAAAAAGATTGACATATTTAAATTTTTTTTAATATGAAATATTTATAACAATACAAATGCTATGACAGATTTTAGACTATAAGTTTCAAAAGTTTTTATATTCACAAATGCTTTGGCTATTTACGATCACATATCTCAAATGTCTTTTATTGTTTATTAAAGTTTGTATCAAGTTAAATTAGGATAATCTTTTCCAAACGAGGTAAGTATTGGACTACCCCTATTTGCTAAGGTCCCGAGCGTAGGGGATTGCTAAAGTGTCTAGAAGGACCGAAATGTTTTCTTATATAGGCTTAAACAATATTTATCCCATAAGTTAGCTTTTGGACTGAATTATACGAGTATATATTTTCTCAACACTATCAGATATCCGACTTGAGGGGTTAATTAGCAAAATAAAACTAATATATTTAATAATTATTCAGCAAGAAAAAGACCAACTCGGAATTGGCCCACAAACAGCTGGAACATGATTTGTCTAATGCAAGCATGGCAAAACAGTAGAATGTGAATGCCGTTAGGACCACCTAAAACTTGCCGCATATCATTATACTATTAACTTTTTACACGTGATTTTGTGTAGTCTTATATGCTTATGTGGGCTTTCATTTCTCATCTTTTCCCCCTTTGACCTTTTTATTTTTCCTGATGGCTTTTTTGGTTACAAACAGTATATTGGCATTGTTCATCACACCATTGGGGCGGAGCTTGAGTTTAGCTCACGAGCTCGGTCGAATTCAGCTTTGATTTAAGTTTTGTATTTGTATTAAAACACTCATTAAATATATAGAAATTATTAATTTAGAATTCAATAATTTAAAAGAACCAGAATTTGAAATTCATAAGTTTCACATCCTAGTTTCACCTCCATTGCACATTGCCTTTTCGTTTGACCGAAAGACTTCATTTAAAACTAACACTCCAATCCGGATAATAACTTCAATTAAGACAAAGGATAAAAACTTTTGAGAAACATTAGGAAAACAAGCTTAACAAGTGGCATCAAAATTAGATTGACAATCAGAACAAGAAAATTGACTGTGTGTAATAATACTTATATATAAAGTTGTTTATGATAACTATAGGGCCAAACAAGTGGTTTAGCGTTATTTTCTTTGGTAATCCTAAATGATCCGACCCGAATAAGAACAATGGAGGATCCATTTTAGTCAGCAACTGCCCAAGTCATATCATTCTCAAAGATCCAATGACAAACTTCAATCTTCCCGGGTCACGACCCAAGTGCAATAAAAGCACCATGATTGGCTCCCCAAGATGACGTGTCCACATGACAGATGGCAATGCCACGATTAATCTTAGCCTTTGAATTCGGATCCAAAATATCCGCTTCGTATACCCGAACTTTAGGAACCGAATGGCAATAGTAAACTAAGTACGGGAACAAACTCTGATGACAAGAAACTGATTTGGTTACTTTCCCGCCATTGATTCCTTTGACTGATCCTATCATAATATTTCCCTTTGACCCCTTTGTATTCTCAGTTGTTCGAACGACAACGTTTCGACCTAACACTGAGGTGGAAAAGTCAATCATGTCCTCAACTGAGTTAACGCAACGTTTGGTCTCGCTGGCGCTCGGCGATCTTTCACACTCCGTTAATGCATCGCTCATCATTTTCCCCATCTGAGAATCGTCTCCGGCGTGGAAAATTGTCTTTAGTTCACTAATTTTTGAGGTAGAAAATGGTAATTTTGAAGCTATCACTCTAGGCAAAAATGATCTTTTTGGCATTTTATCTTGAATATCAGGCATTGCCATTATAGTTCCTGTTTTTAACATTTTTTCTCTGAAAAATTTCCCCGGCTCAATCCACTTGTTTTTGGCATTTTTATCAGACACCAAGGAAGATGAAACCGAAACCTGATTAATGGTCTTGTTCTTATAGTCAGCAAATGTGACAACTGTTTTTCCATACTCTTTAAAAGTCGTGTTCACACCATAAGTCTTGAATCCAACTGTTTGAGCATCAGTAATACCAGATCCATATTTATTGAATGTATCAGACCCTTCACCAAATGACTGACCATAATTCTCGAAATTAGCTCTGCCAGCATTTGGATCATCCACGTACGATGTGAATTTATCATCTCCAACATTAGACTTGTCACGATAATTAATAAAAGTCTCGAAAGGAGCATTACCATCAACACCATAATTTTTGAAAGTATTTTCTGGTACATTTGCATTAGACCCGTAGGATTTGAAGGTGTTGCCCCCACCATTTCCTGATTCGCCATAGTTGGTAAATGTTGAGCCTATAACATTGGAGTTATTAGCATAGCTGGTGAAATCGTTAACTGCTCCGTTACTATTTCTACCGTAGCTTGTGAAAGATTGGTCCCCGGAATTTGTATCTTTTGTATAGCTCGTAAAAGATTGCTTTCTGCCCGCTACCTCAGTAGAATAGGTGGTGAACCGTAGATTAGGGACGTTGACATTGGGGGCGTAGTTCTTGAAATCACCAACCCCACCAGCAGAAAGGCCTGCGAAAACGGATGCACTGTTGACTCAATGAATTCGTCCAGACTAACTTTTACACAGAGAGTATAACCGTTCAAATTGCAATAAATATTAAATTCTAGACAGATTAATTTCTAAAGCGATGCAAATAATTCAGTAATAAA